TGCTGCAGGCTCTCGCTCTTCCCTTGCCCACAGCCCTGCTCACCCCGCGCTCAGCCGCCATGATCTGCCTGGGCCTAGCGCGGCATGCCGGGGGAGCGCTGAGCAGGCCCTGCCCATCATCGACCCTGCTGCCTGTGCTACTTACTGGGAAACTTGTGCAATCAATACACCATGAGCCTGCCCCGCTCCTGGGAATGCAAACCTGGAGCAGTGCACTTAATCTTGAGGCTGCCTCTTGCTCCCTGCTCTGCTGCTAAAGCCGGCGCTTGGTCTGCTTGATGCGACATTATTGCTGCCGGGGTCAGCGTGAGCCGGCGTGGCGAGCGCTGATGAATGGCTGTGTGTGACGGAGCACCTCTCCTGCCCAGCCAGGGACATCTCATAACGATGGACCATAAGTGTGCACGCAAAAACCTCATAGCTTGGTTGTGAGCTCATGTAGAGAAAGCTAAAGAAGTCGGTGTGTTAGTTTGGAGCAACTATTTGGAAAAAGAATGAATGAGGAAAGCAAGGTTTATTAAAACTTGGAAGAAACCTTCCCCTTTGTTATAAAATTGTAGGAGTGGCTGCAAATACACATATTTTCCTGCAATCCTACCCGCATTGGTTCCTTTTCCTTGTATGTTAAAAAAATCTGTTTTTTTTCCTTGCATGTTAAATCTCTGGCCTTCAAGATTATTTCTTAACACAAATTATCTCTTCAGGAATTTCTTTTGTTTCAACTGTGTTCTCCAACACAAGGTTTTAAATTTTGTTTGAAGCTGTTGTGAAGTCTGTACTGAGGAGGACCTGAAAGCTGGTAGGCTAAGTCCAACACCCTTTGTAGTCAAAACCACCTCTTAGCCCGTGGACAAACATCACTCTTAAGAAAATGTGTATTCTGCCTTAGAAATTCCAATCCTGCATGCTGATGCTTTACAGTAAAAATTTCAGCTGTACAGCGACGTGTCCACTTGAACCCTAATGCTCTTTCATCATTGTGAGTGTTGCACATGTTTGAAAACTGTTCTGTCAAAGGCAGGAGCTTTGCTTCAAACATTTGCCTGTTTCCTAAACCAGTCCAATGACTGGATGAGTTGCTGGGCAATTCACAGCATACTTTCTAAAGACAAATTCAATACTGACACTTTAAAATAGTATTTACATGATGTTAGTATTTATCTAGCCATAGACCTTTGATTGCTTTGTGATACTTAACACAATGCTCCACAAAATCTTTCCTCGTCCTTTTATTTCCTCAACCCTAATACATGGAGATGAGATTCTCAGTAGACCATTACATTTTATTACAGAAGATTTATCTGCATTTATATAAATACAGATTTAGGGAAGGATAAGTGTTGGAAGGCAGAGTTAGCTGATGAGAAGTGAAACTATCCAAATACGGACTGTTGGTTTTAACTGAGTGAAAGCCACATTATTCCTGGTCATGACTGGACTTGAAAGTTGTGGGTTTCTGGCATAGTCCCTAGAGTGTGACTCACTGTGACAGTGGTTGTGCTGGAACTTTTAGTGCTTTATTCTTTAATTTTGCCATACTGCATGAAGTTGTGTACAGATTTTGTGAAATAAAAGAGCCTCTTTTGTACATGCAAACTGCTCCAAACTCCTGCTTTTGATTTTCACAAAGGGCAGCTAGATGCAGTGAGGGATTTTTGTTTTCTGCTGGTTCCATTTTCTTGTATAAAGGCAGTGCAGGCTAGGAGAGGTAAGCCAGTGTGTTAGGTCACTCTGGGCAGCCTCAGAGGAACGAGTCCTAATTTTGTAAACAGTAAGCTGATATGTTTTTACAGGTATGGGAATCAGCAAAATTAGTTTGGACGAAGAAACAACTTACAAGAAAAAATATGGAGGAAGCTGGTAATTCAGCTGACCCTTTCATTAGTCTTTCATTACTTGTTCCTCCCACTGCAGTGCTGCCCCTTACTTTATGTAGTTATTCTGAAATGTCTGAAAATGATCTTTTGCAAAAATTTAATTCATAAGAAAACCCTCATCCTGCAAAGAGTGTGGATGGTTTTGTAAAGGGGACTTCACTTATTTTCTTACTGAAATCCTTTTTTTCATGGTTATAACTGTGGCAGGAAGCAATAGCTTGAGGTTGGTATGGAAATCTGCAAATGGTTCAGGGTACAAGGGAGAGATGAGACAAGGCTTTATGCTCAGGTCCTTCCCACTGAGCTGGGGCTCTGCTGTCCAGCAGCAACAGCTGCAGGTTTTAGACACGATGGCCTTACTGAAGAGCTCTAAATTGTATTCTAAGAGCTAAAGCACCAACATGGGAGAGGGCAGAGTGTACATTTGCAACTGGTAAAAGTGGAAGGGTGTAATGAATGATTAAGGATGCAGGAAGCAGATAGGGTCCTTAGGGTGAATCAGAGATCCAATTGAAGTGAAGTAAGTATTAAAAAAAATTTAACTAAGTGTAAGGTCTATTAGGTTAGGCAGCAATTGTAAAAAGAAAAAAATCCTGAAAGCCCCATTTCTGAGATTTTTAAAACTGAATAAGTCAAAAGACCAGAAAATATACAGTAGATAGCATAATATAATGATAGGAGAATAGACCTACTCCAATAGGCCTATTTAATTTCTATTCCTCTGAGTCACTTAAGCTATTTATGCTTAATTTTACATAGTTATGACTACAGAGTATAATCATCCAAATTGCAATAAAATCCTTATAACAGATTAATAAAAAAAAGTGATGTCTCATTTTGCTTCAGTGAGCTAACATGCCTCAGGAATGAATGACAATCCATGCTGCTGGGGCAGCAGCAGGGTCACCAGTGATGCATTAAAGTAATGTTAAGTCCTCTACTCAATTATAATCCTGTATTTTGTTTTTCCAGAAGTAAAAGCCACAAAGCAGAGTGTCCCGATTGCTGTAAAACTATGAACTACAATACATACTCCAGAGTTCCTTCCCATTCAGCTCTTAATCCATGAGGAGGTGATGCTTTGCCTCATTTTTGGGCTGGTACCTTAACCCCAAGTCGTGAGTTGTGTGGTATTCTTTTCTATAAGCAAGAATGAACTGTTAACACTTGGCATGGCAAAAGATGCTCTGAACTTTACTAAGAACTGTTTTGGTGTTTGTAACTGGCACATAGCATATTTTTAATTTCCATCTAGCCCATCATAGTGATACACAAGCTGTATCATTCTTTGAATGGTCACTAAACTCAGCCCTATAACAACTGATTGTGACAGAGTATTTTGAGCACAATAAATGTAAGTTGATTGGGAAACATATTTATTCATCACATTTATTTTAATTAGAATGGAAAGTGATGTGAAATTCCTATTTTGCAAAAAAAATATAAACTGTTACCTACTAATGGGTTAAAAATAAACAGAAGCCTTCATATAAAAAAAAAAGGCAAAAGAAACAGAGAGAAACGGTAATGACAGTTTTGAAGTATCCAGTACCTGTTGTGACAGGAATAACAAATTAATTGGGACTATAACGGATTCTTTGTAAAGGTGAAGTAAACACACTTGACTGTATATTTTTCACCATCAGTTAAGTCTCAATTGGTTCTAAAAATAAACAGAAGACATTGAACAGTTTTAATGGATTTTGACACCTAGGTATTATGCTGTCACTCCAGTATAAATGAATCATAACTTTAGACTGCGCCAAGGAATTACTACACATTTGGAGAAAATTTATGGTGCACCGGGCTTTGAATCATGATGTGATATCAAAACTAAAGTCACAAGAGGAAAAAGTCTGGCATAAATTATTATTTACCCAAGCCACACGTATCCAAGTGAACGCAACAAGTATGGTTTGCAGGGTTAGTTAGAAATGCCACTATAATTTCTTGGTGTTAACACCTCTCTGAGTGGCTGTTCTGGCTGAGCTCCCGGGGAGCTGCATCCAGAGGGGAGCTGAGCACAAATGCTGGGCAAACCACTGCAGCTGCCAGATGTTTGCTGCTTCTCAGAATGTGACCTAATTACGGGTTTACCAATGAAGAGGTTAAAAGAAAGAATTTCAGCGTTTGAATTTGCAGTTATGTTTGGCTTAAATTTACTTATTTTAATATCTGATGCAGGACTTGCAGATGAATAATTTCTTACCTTGGGGTCAAAGAGACCTTAAACTTTTTGTGGCTGTGAACATCTGCAAAGTGATGGGTTGCTGTGTTCAAGCTGGTTGTCTAATTTGTGGTCATATAGGTCGGTAAGCCTTAAAATATACAGCATATAATATTTGCTGAGTCTTTATCTTGTAATTTATTTGAAAACACAGTAGTTTGTGCAGTTGCTTAGTCAATGAAAGTATGCTTTTTATTACTTAATCAAGAAAACAGGTATAGACAGGTATACTTCACAGGAGTCTCAGTTGTGTTCAATGCACAAGTGCAAAGTTGAGGGGTTTTTTTAAGTCCTCATCAAAATGATCCTGTTTTTAAAACCACTCGTTTTTCAAAGCACAAGGCAGGTGGTTGTAAATATTCAATCTACATTACTTTTACAACTTCCTCAACAGTTCCTTCTGTTTTTCAAGGTATTCTGAACTCATCTTTTCTAGAATTTTGGCTTAAAACCTGACTGTTTCTTCAGAGCTTATTATAAAATTATAAAGAGAAGATATGCAGTTTTAAGACTCTATTAAGCAAAAAGGAGCAAATCCAAAAACGATTATAAGCAGACAGAGAAGATGTTTTGTCCAGAAATCCATAGTGTATTGGTTTGTAAAGCTTTCACACATTCTGGCTGTAATGCTTTACAAAACTGGATTGATTCACTATTTTTGATCTGCTGGGAGGCTAATAATTTGTTTAATGACTTTGGTAATCTTCCCTTGAAGCAGTGGCACGGGTGCTGAGCTTGCTGCTGATGGCCGTGAGGCTCGAGGTCAAATCCTTACCTGATACAAATACTCTGTTCCTCCCCAGCCAAGCCTGGCATCCCTGCCTGCCTCTCTCTCCTGCTCTCACATTTCTTTTCCAGGCTCCATCCAGATGTTGCCCTTGTGTGGTGCCAGTGCCAGAGTGGGTGGGTGGGCATCCCTCACCCTGCTCCACAGCTCCAAGGAACTTCCAAAATCCATCGTGTGACTGCAGCTGTAAAAAGTGTCCTGTTTCTGCAACTGCCACTGCCTCTTGCTGCAGCTATTAATCTTGTAAAGGGACCAGTGCTATGTTTGAAACCAACTTTGTATCATCTTTTATTAACCGGGTTACTGCTAAATGGCTATCACCAGGTGGAGAGCTATGCAGAAAACATGAAGGGTAAGAAATGGGGAAAGAGAAGACAGTTGGGTTTATTCCCTGGAAAACAGAAGAAGGAAGAAGCATCCACTGTTGAAAAGTCTGAGATTTTTTTCCCTTTGGTTTAAGACAATTTCATGTACTTTATTCTTTCTTCTTTAGGCTGATATACACTTCAAAGTAATTTTTAAAATGGGAAAAGCCACTTCCTTCCCCCCAGGGGCAGTGTAAGGATGCAGTTTAGACTTTGCTTCAAAGAAATGGTGCCACTGGCATTATTGCACCCCAAAACTCACTTGAATGGCCTGCTTTATGCATTGACCCTGCCAATTTTCTTTTAAAAAGAATCCTGAATGGTCACTGAGGGGTAAAGAAGTTGTCTGTGAAGTGTTCCCTGTGAGGGATGGTGTTTTCCAGGGCTGCTGCTGGCCAGGGTGTGTTCACCACCTGCCTGTTGGGAGAAGTCACAACAAAACCTTACCACTCCCAGTCTCCTGTAAGTATGTTTTTAACCCACCTGCTGGGCTCTAGTGGATAGTTGTAAAATGTGCATCAGGTATAATGAATTGGTGAATAAACACTTCTGTGGTAGCCACCTCTCTCCCCAAAACTGCTGCCAAAGCTTTGCCAAGCAGTGGGAGCTGCACACAGCTCTCCCTTGGGAGCTTCCAAGGTGGAAAGTCTCAGCTAATCAGAAATATGGATGTGTATATAAAATATGCATTATTCTAATCTGGGTTGTTATGGGAGAAACTGCATCCCACTGTGAGCATAGAGTCTCCTCCCTGGTGGCAGCTGGTGTGTGAAAAGCATGTGGAGAAAAACATGGGGAGGATGTTTACTGTCTGCATACTGTGTGGGTTTAATGCTTCCTCAACCTGTAAAGGGAAATTTCCTGGGCAAAGTGGGAGGCCTGTGTGAGCATCCTGAGCTGGGGTGTTGGCAGGACTGCTGTGAGATTCCCGAGTTTATCTGGTGCTGACAGCATCCATCCTGAAGGGGATACTGCATTGTGGGTCTTGGCATCCAAACATTTTTTATATGAGTTGTGAGCAGAAGTATTGGTACATCAGAAGCTTCAAGCACATTCCTTTTTATAGCTTATCCAACCAACACAAAATGAAAAGGTGGAAGATGCACAACACATCATGACATATTTTCCCCTTTGCTTGTTTCTAATATGTGCAAATGACATTTTTAAATATTGAAAATTGTTCACCTTGTGTTTAAAATACTTAAATTGTCATCTAATTGTGTTTTGTTTCCTCTGAAATGATTCCAATTATTATAGCAATTTATTAATGCAATTAATTTTATAAAGGTTTTCAAGTTTATTTCCCTGTTAAGAACCCCAAAGCATTCTCACAGTACCATTACTTTATGGTTCTAATTTTAGATCTTTTTCACTTTGTTTATTTGCAGTGTGGTAGCATTTCTTTTTGTCACTGAGTACATTACTTAGGCATTATCAATTAATATAATATATATATATCAATCTAACAGGTATGTTTCTCTGGTAGTAGAGATAAATAATTAAGATTTATACCTCATGGGCTTTTTCCTTAAAGGGGCTATTCTAAAATTTTTCTTCTGGTGTTCTGCAAATTCTAAGGTATTTTGTTTTCATAAATTATGAAAGGAAAATGTCACAAGCTATCACTGTTTCTGTGCTCTGCCTTTGCTGACAGCTGTATGATGCTCATTCAGTGCAGCAGATTGGGAGCTGAAAGTTTCATCAATAAATATGACTCTGATGGCTTCATGTCAACGGTCAAGGTAATGGCCTTTTATTATCCTGGAAACACACTTCCACAAGGAGTGGGTATATTTTTCTTAAATTCTTCTGAGGAGAATTTTTTTTTACTTTTGCATAAAATTTTAGTCATTGTCATCTGTGACTGATATATAAAGCATTCTAATAAAAGAATAATAGATTATTTTTATTACTGCATGCTGAGGAAGAAGGAAATTAAGAGAATGCTGAATTGTCTTACTGTAAACTTTATGATCACTGTAGAAGTATTTTATAATATTTTGAAATCTTTGAAAAGGGAAACATGCAACTGACCTATTTGTAAAATTACAAAATGCAGCACTGAGAGATTTGCAGTGTGAAAAAATCCCAGAACAGCTTTATTCTGCACTAAATATGGATGAGATGTAATTTTTTTTCATTGAATTTTGAAATTATTATGGTTAAAAATATTATTTTTTTAAATGGAATTTTCCAGTCCGTTGTACTACTGAAGAAAAATAGTGACACATGTATTTACTGTGTGTGCATTCATATGAGAAAGAAATGAGCATTGTGATATTTTAACATTGCACTGCTGTTTCGTACATAAAATACTTTCTAATGTTTATAATGTTTTTGCAAGTTTTAACTTTTCTTAGAGCTTTTTAAAGTGGTCTAGTAAATCTACTTATTGTTAATGAAATTAGATTTTAGTAACAAGTTTAGATAGGTTTCTCTATCTGGCTAGTTAGATGGTCAATATTTGGCCCTCAAATAGTAACTTGTAAATAAAAACCTAGGGAAAAAATATGCACCTACCTCTACAAAAATAGTTCTCATTCAATGGCTGTACTGTGGGTTTATATTTTATCCAAGAGTTTTAACTTAAAAGATTTTTAGAATATCTGACTAGTTTTAAGTGTATATGATGCTCAATCACATCTGATTTGCCAAAACTTCTCATTAAAACGTGAATTCCACAAGACAGAAGACAGCTAATTTTGATGAATTCCAGCATATCTGGGAGAACTGACAGCTGCCAATAGATTAACATATTAGTGTGAAACTATTACTGGGAGATGCTGCTTTAGCCCTAATAATGTGAGGAATGTGGCCCCCTTTCATGTGAAAACTGTGCTCATTTGAGTTTAAAACAGAAAACTTTTCTGCATGGGGTTTTAGCTTCCATCTGTGTTACAGCATTTTGTAGACTTTCTTTAATGGAAACCATACTAAAATCAAGCTGGAATTCCTTCCAGGCATTTGAGGAATAAAATAATTTCTACAGCGCCCATGGAAACAAGGTAATTTTTTTATCATGAGTCTTAGTCTCATCTAGTAGTTCCTGTGATATGGTTTGCATCTGGTGGATCCTGCAAAATTATTTTCTAAAATAATATTTTTTGTATTTTTCTATAATAATATTTATTATTATTATCTCAACACCACCAACTGGTGCTGAGAGAATAAGACCTCCCCGGCGCTGTAGGTGCTGGGTGTGGTCCTGCAGCCCCTGTTGGAGCCGTGGCCACCGAGCCCTCCTGGCAGGGGATGCTGTGCTGGGGGAGATGCTGGGAGCTCCAGGGAACCCGAGGGATCAGTGCCCTGCCCAGGCTGGGTGCAGGGCTGGGGCTCTCTGCCAGCAGTGCTGCACAGGAACTCCACGAAGAATTTGAAAGCACTAGTTAAAAGTTATCTTACTAGCAAGATGCTGACTGTGGGCACTTAATTGAATTGATGTGGACTGCTGAGGTGGGGAAGAGGACCAGAGTTAGGTGATATGGCCCTGATCTGCGGTAGAGTCTCGTCCTTGTCTTGTGGCTTCCTTTTCCTCTGCTGCTGGTAGAACTGCATACTTAAAATTCTGATCCTTGCACGCTAGACGGCCTCAAAAAAGTAGAGATATGAAGCAAATAAAGCAACATTTTACTGAAAGTTCATTCATCAAAAAGCTGCATATTTTGAAAAGGGTAAAAGTACTACTAGACCCATCAGGGATAAGTAAAGGCTATATACTATAGATTATTTTAATCCCCTTGCTAGATATAAAAGGGATAATTACATATTTGTGGTTGAAGCCATGTGGTGGAAAAATCAATACAACTTTTTTGTATGACACTTCATTAGTGTGAAAAATTTTAAAAGCTGAAAAGAACTGCCTTGCAATTAAATGCCTCTGCTATTTCAGATTCAGTAATGGGTTTGTATTATTATCTAGTTTATTTGAAATAGTGGTTGCACTATAGCAGTAATTGGAAAACATTGATTATGCACTTGTATATAGAAAACCTGGCAAATCATTACAGGGCATAGCAACAGTTAGTTAGCCTTACTAATGAAGCACTAATTGCTGTAAGTAGGTTAACATGTTAGTGAAACTACAGGGAGATAGAGCTTTGAAATCTTTTGTCTGTTCAGTGTTACATATCTTTTTTTTAAATCTTATTTTAAGAAAGCTCATTTTGCAAACACAAACCACAAGACTTTCTTGATGCTATATTTGGAATAATTTTGTAGATTTGGTTTGTGTGGGTTTTTTCATTTAGATATAAAGTCTGGCTCACTTTAGTCATATTTATGCTACTCCAATCAACATGGTGACTTTAATGTATGTGAATGGCTAGCTGGAGTGAAAGGCTGGTTGGCTCAATTGATTTCCTTATTCTAATGCAATTATGTCATCCATGCTATATGCTTCTTGAACAAATTTTTTTTTAATTTTACTGTTCTGTGTTTGATGATGTAGTAGCTAAACTGCCATATGACTGCTTGGGATACAATCTTAAAAAAACCCTTTACTTTTTGAAAACCTGAAGGCCCCAAATCTCTCTAGTAAAATGTATTAGAAATAGAAATGGATTATTTTATTATAGCTATTGACTGAGAAAGACACATTGCAATTTCTTTAATTAATTATGCTACATTAGTACATTTTGCAAGCTTTTGAGTCAGGAGTAACTTGAACTTCACGGTTGCTATCTGCTTCGGAACGTATATTTAGGGTGTGGCTTAATGGACAGCGGGAGGGATGAAATCAGGAGCCTTCCTGGAGCCCAGCGTGCTTGCTGCCCATCCTGCTCACAGCCCTGCTCTCCAGGAGAGGAGCAGGCAGCTCTCCCACTGCAGAGACGCCCCCTCAGCCCAAGGGCAGTCAGTGACTTCCCTCTGCCCTCGCCCTGGTGTCCCCCGACTCTCCTCAGGAGGGTCAGCACAGGTTTGGCTGCATGGGGCAGGTCCTGCAGCTTTCCTTCTGCCCCTCCATCCCGCCATGCAGCACAGCAGCTCCACTGCGTTGTGATACTGCTTGGCTGCAGAAGTGCAGGGCCAGGATTTCCTTGTTTTAAATAGGTGTTAAATTCTCTCCCAGATTCACAGGAATAAAGCATGACCCCCTAAGAAGTTGCATAATGACCCTGAGTTAGAGAACATCTTGGAACAATTCTTACATTGAAAAGTAAATGAATAACAACACACAAACTTTACTAACCAAGTGTTAGAAAATGCCAGTTGAGATTCTTACCGCATTCCAATTTTTAAAAAATAACTGTGTGTGGTTTTTCAAAAGATTTTAAAGGGTAGGAGGGATGTTTTAAAGGGAAAACTGCTTTCAGTTCAGAGCTAGCCTCAACTAGCTCTGCTTTGACTCAGCTTAACAATATTATACCCCTCTGTTCATAATAAAGAGCTGTTTTGTGCAAAGCAGCTCATTATTATGAATGTAAGGGCATGTTTGGACTAGTAAAGCAAATCATAAAAATTGCTGCCCATGTCACGTTTTTCCTTTGTCAATAAAAGATTTTCCTCAGGGTCAAAAACAATTATTGACCAGAGAAAAATCTCAGGTTCTGTTTGGAAATTTTTCCTGGTGGTTCTGGAAGTAAGGATGTGAAGTTTTCAAACTAAAAGTATGTGTGGTGAACATTATCTGCAAGGTCTTTGGTGTTAAGGAAATCACGACATCTGCCAATCTTTCAAATTCCAAAGGGTAAAGAATGAGGTCTGTTAGGCTGTCATCGAACATGACAGGCTTAATGTAAAGTTTATAACAGAAAAAGGGCAATCTTATTGTGGTTTATTCAGTTTTATGTTGCTTGTTCAGTAGAAAAGCTCATTTTTTTTATCTAATTTATAGCATTTGAAATACCAAACAGATTTTTTACATATCTCCTGAGCTCTCAGCTCTTCTTGGCTACCCCTTAGTCATTCCTTTAGGGAGCAGTCTTAAATCCTTCCAATTTAGCATCTATGTGAGACCAGACAATTGTTTTACTTGAGCATATCCTTCAGTTGTTATAGAGCTATTTCTAAACTCCAAACATTTTAGTTTAATTACTGCTTAGAATATTTGCTATATTTTTATCTAGGTTGCCTCTCACTTGAGCCCATTGGGCTGAAGAAAGAATTACTCCCCATGCTGTTCTGTAGCCTTTCTTGTTCAGATCTGTAATTGGCCCTGTGTTTTTGACTTTTTGCTAATAAGCAGCTTACTTGCTCTCCCACTAGACTCAACCCACCACTTTTGTTTCATGAATTTTACAAAGGATTTTAATAGATGCTTTAGGCTATGCAAAATGTTATATGAAGGAAAGCATTAATGCTCTAGCCTTGACACAAAGGATGTGTGAATGGCTGCTTATCATTACCGTCAGGTATCAGAATTTTCATTAGGAGTTCTGGAGGACAAAAGGGGGAAAAGTGTAGCTATATGAAAGAATATTAACCTATACTGTGCAACCAACCACAATTGCTTAGCATTTTACATTAACTCTCTTCAGACACTGGCTCTCATTATTTTCACACATACATAATAACCGCTTATTATAGCGGTACAGTTCACACTGATATATTGTAGATAAGGTTGTGTCAGCACTTCCATTATAAACCCTATTTTCAGAGGTTTAAAAGGCAGCTGTAAAAATTTACTCCAGACAGAAGATTGGTTTTCCAGGTTTCTGCCTCGAGCAATTTTTTTTTAAACCAATTAAAAACAATTGGCTGGTTTTTAAGCTATAGAAGTAAACAAAACAAATTAAGAGGTTTAAAGCATTTTTGCACTTCTGTAACTCACAAACCTTTATTAAAAAAGAGAGAAATTTAGACAACAATCTGTTAATGTTATACTCACCAGTACTGTTCTGCAAATGAAGTATACACTGGGCATTGCAAAAGGGTAGTAAATCAGGATACTACAGCTTAAAATTGACTCCTGAGCACAGTGGATGATTCTTAACAAAAGAATTTATTTTAGCTCTAGAAAAAAGCCTGGTCCTTGCTATCACCAAAGAAATACCTGATCTTTCTGAAGTGCTCATTCCTCTGAGGACTGAAAAGAATTGTTTCCTCTTAGGCTTCTCCTTGGGCTCTTTGGGAAACCAAGGTGTGATTTTGCTTTCCTGCCCATGGCAGCAGGCATCCCATTCACTGTAGTGTTGGAGTGCCTCCTCAGAGCTTTCCACTGAGATAATGGTCAGGAAGTGGTGGAGGTTAAGAGAACTGCTGGAGATGGGCCGAGAGCCTTCCCATTTCTGTGTCTGACTGAGCCTGCACCTCCACAGAGACAATGGAGCTCAGCTCCCTTCCCACTCTGCATTCCATGGATGCCTGTGGAGGCAGCCCACAGGTGAGCTGCCAGGTGGGGAGAGGCCCACTCACCAGCCTCCAGGTGATTTATGGCTCCAGTGACTATGGGACACCCTGGCATGGCACACCTTCCACGAGTACCTGCAGCCCCTCATCCCACCACAAATTCCCTGAAAGCTCTTGGGCAGAGCAGGAACGTGCCTCCAGTTGAGCCTGAGGGCTTGTCCTACAGCAGATGTGGTACTTCCTCACCTCCCATCTGGAAGGCGAAGCCATGGCTGCCATTTGCAGTGCTCTTTCCTTTAGCTGATCCTGTGAATGTTGTCCAGGTGCCAGCATGGCGGGAACAGCGCTGCTGGATTTTCCTCTCTAGCTGTACCTGGCAGTGAGAAAGAAAAATAACAACACACCCATGCTTATGGAGGTTACTTGGGAGGTACCCAAATTATTCAGCTTGATGTCCCAACATTTCAGCCCATCTGTTCAAACAGGGATTTATCCACTACTGTGAATTGTGCCTTAGTATCTACTGGGTAATATTATGCGTTAATTTCTGCAAATAGATTTAGGTATGACATTTCTGACAGTTGTTCAGCTGAAATGGATTAATAATGCATTTTTACGATCTTCTTGTCACTTAAAAATATACTACAGTGCAGTGTATTGAGATAGCACCAGTTTTAAAAGAAATATTTTAAATATATTTAAATAAAGTTGGCTCATT